AGCGATGCCCCCCGCCTCTTCCAAGACGCCCCAGGTTTAATGGTTAAACAGACCCAACATCTTCCCTGCCCTCCCAGCCCCAGGGCACTGCCAGCCCTTGCCCAGCAGAGCTGGGAACAGGGACCAGCACCCTGGGACACCCAGCCTGGGAACAGATCCTGGTGCCCCAGCTTCCAGCTGCTCCCTAGGGCAGCCCACAGTGGAGAAGACCAACGGGTTTGGCATGGGCTGGAGCAGAACTGGGCTGCCCCATCCTAGCCTTGTGAGATGGGGAAGGGTCAGAGCCCTCCACTCCAACTGCTGGAGGGACAGCTGCACCAGCACCTCCGCATTCCTCCCCCAAAAAGGGCCCAGAGAGATCAAGTCTTGGCACTAGTGTGCGTCAGTGGAAACAACGCAGTGCACTTTAATGCTACCAAAGGTTTCACAAGCAAGCCTGACTCCTGCCCATCTGCCACTGTTGTGGCTCGTGGCCAGGCCAGCAGTGGCCGGGGTGCAGGGGCTGGGTCTCTACAAGCCCACAAGAAGTCCCATTTGCTCCTGGCCTGGTCCCTGTACAGTCCTCCCGCACTTCAGCATTGCCCACAGATGAGGGCTGAGCCCCACACACCCAGCACCTTTGACAGCCTTGGTAGCACCCAACCACCAGGCATCTCCATGCAGATAAGGGCCAGGGCACACTCCAGTATTTCTTCCCCAGCAGCACTGCTCCCACCCCGGCTGGGTGGACGGACAGAAGGTTAGAGGGTCCCGTGCTGCAGTCTCCCCAGCATCTTCCTGACCTCACTCTCGACTCGTAGGAACCTGGCTTTCCTCCAGGGGTTGGCAGTCTGTCTCCGGCTGCTCTCTAGGTCCTGCAGGATGAGGGCAAGGTGCTGCTGAAACCGCTCACGGTCCCAGAAAGGCAGGTTCCTCTGCACCACGCTCAAGATATGGGACCAGTAGTCAGAGACATCGGTTCCTGCTGTAAGGAAGACCAGTGCCCTGACGCCGTCCCGGTCCATGCGCAGGCTGTGAAGTGCCCGTTTGCCATCCTCACTGATGTCGTTGAAGTACAGACTGCGTGTTGAGAAAAAAGGAGTGGCAGACACTGTGAGGGCTGGGGGACAGGATGCAGAGGCAGACAGGGCCTCCTCGCTCACTGCCACAGGGAGGGACACTGGGTTGGAGGCATCGCCTGCAAGAGTGAAGAGATAGGGCAGAGCGAACTCACTGCACTTTGTCCAGTGTTGCATGCTTTTTGGCCACCTCCACCACGTGCAGGGCAGCTGTGTCCGTCAGGGAGTTGTAGCCCAGGTTGAGCTCCCGGAGGTGCTGGTTCTCGGCCAGGCGCTGAGCAATGACTTCGGCGCCCCGGTCCCCCAGTGCGGTGTGTAGCAGGGACAAGTGTGTCAGTGAGCAGTTGCCTGCCAGCGCCTCGGCCAGGTATTGTGCTCCCTGCTCACCCACAGGGTTGTTTGCCAGCCTGTGGACACAGGAGCTCAGGGCAATGCCAAGGCTGGGCAGGGGACCCACAGCCAGGGCACATGGAAGGCAGCAGAGACAGTTTCATGCAAGGACAGAGGCAGTACTCACCGCAGGTTGCTCACTACGCACTTGTCATGCAGGAGCAGGTTGCGGATTTCCTTGCAAGCGTCAGAGCCCAGGCTGTTGAGCTGCAGACTGATGCGGAGAGCAAGACACGGGGGTGGCAGGACCAAAATGGCTAACAGCTGCAACCCTGCTCTCTCAGTTTTCTTTGGCCCTCCCCATCACCATCCTACCTGGGTTCCCCTGACAAGGCCATGCAAGTCTTCCTCTCCAAAAGGGAGCACACTGAAACTGCACCAAAGCTTGGGTAGCATCAGCCAGCACAGCCAGTGCCAGCAGGAGCAAGGGAAGGGAAGGGGGTGCAGGGTCCACAGGGGGTGGGTGAAGGTCTGAGGAGGGATCAGGACCCCACCAAGCCCTCCTGAGCATCTGGAGGAAGGAAGTGCCCCGCTGTACAGCGGAGTCCATCTCTGCTGAGCACGGCTCGCCACCCCCTGGGTGACAGGAAGACTGCAGTTCCACAGACGGACTGGAATGGAACCCATCCCTCTGCGCAGCGCAGACTCCCACCTATGGGCTGCGTCCCTCCTGCCCAGAGCTAGCAGCAGCAGAGCTAGCTGCGTGGGGATGCCGGGTGGCAAGCAACTGGAGGGAGCTGGGTCTGCCAGGGCAGCTGGCAGCCCAGCCTGCGCTACCAGATGCAGAGAGCTGCCCAAAGACTCCTACGGGAGGGTGTGTTGGGACTGCAAATCCCAGCATGCAGCGCCTTAGCAAGGCTGGTCAAGGAGTGTTGCATGTTGGAAGCTGTAGTCCCCTAGGTCTGCACTGAGGATAAACAAGGGCATGAATGCCTTTCCCTGCCTTTGCCATGCTCGGGCTTCTAGTGCATCCCTGTGATGGGCAGAGGTGAGGGAAAGTTCAATTCCTGACCACTGCCCGAGGGTAGAAGCAGGTGGTACTCACTGGAGAGCTTTGCATCGCAGCAGGACAGGGAAGAGGATGCCCAAGCTGCTCGTGTCAAGGTTGCAGGAGGCCAGGATCAGCTCTTCCACCTCATGGCATGTGGTGCCCATGACAGACGCCAGGACAGAGCACTTGAGAGGGGTCATCTTGACAGACGAGAGGTTGACAGTCCGGAGGGAGCGGATAGCCTCAGCTGTGAAGCGCTCATTCTGGAACTCGTGCAGGAAGAAGAGGTAGTCCATCAGCTCGGAGGGAGGCAGCCCCTTGCGACTGTTCCTGATAACTGTCTTCTCCATGGCCTTGGCGATCTCAAAGGCTGCCAGGTTCTTGATGGAGCAGCCCAGCTGCTCCAGGATGGCACGGTTACGGCGGGACAGTATCCCACCCATGAAGATGGGAAAGAGCTCAAAGACCTCATCATCAGGGGCCTCATCAGGGTGACGCATGGGGCCCTCCATGCCCAGGATGCTGGAATTTATCTGGTCCAAGACATCGTCGTTGTAGTAGTCCTCCTCTTTGAACAGCTCCTCTGCCATGGTGTGAGCAATAGCATCCCGGTCCTTACCACTCAGCCGGGAGAAGTAGCGAGGAAAGATTTTGAGCAGATTGAAGAGCACTGGCAGGAAGCGCAAGGGCAGCACCTTGGAGATGATACTCAGAACGACAGCGACATCTTCACTCACCTTCCCAATGATCTCTGACAGCTCCTTCCCTACTCTCTGTGCCAGGGTCTTCTTCTCACCCAGCACCACATACAGGGCTGCCAGGTACTCCTGCATAGCAGGGATGGTGAAGACAAAGGTGTGCTCTTTGCCTGGCTGCATACATGGAGTGAGGAAGAAGCGGAAGACATCGCTGCGGAAGACCTCCAAAAGGTTGAGCTCACTTTCAGTCTTCATCTCCACCTCAAAGCACTGCTGCAGGTCATCCTCTGAGAAGCATGTCTTGCGGGACATCACCCCTTCATAGGCCAGCTTACCCATCATCTTGGCCACGTACTTCATCATGGAGATGTTGGCAGGGTCCGTGCTGTCCAGAACCTCCCCACTGAAGTTGAGCCTCAAGAAGCTGGTGTAGATGCCAGTCAGGGTCTGGCTGGGAGGTACCGTCCTGGTGAAGTAGAGGAAGTGCAGCGTGGTGCACACCAGCCAGCAGTAAGAGGGCAAGAAGCAGGCAGCGGCTATTTGGTTGTGGCGCTCCAAGTTCCTCGACAACATCTCCACCAAGTTTTCCTGCTCGCCTGAGCTGCTACCCACGCTGTCTTCTCCACTGCAGCCAGGCTGGCTGAGACGCATCTGGAAGTACAGCTTCTGCAGGTTGGTATCGGAGAAGCCACAGATCTCAGCGTAGCGGCCCACATACTTCCCAGGGATCCGGCGCACTGCCGATGGGCGTGTGGTGACGATGATGCTGGCCTGGAAGCAGAGGGCTGGGTGAGTTTGAAGGTGCTCCCTCTGTGGA